CGCACACGCACACGCACACGCACACGCACACGCACACGCACACGCACACGCACACGCACACGCACACCCACACCCACACCCACACCCACACCCACACCCACACACACACACACACGCACACAAACAAACACACACAAACACACACGCGCGAGAACACCGGGCAAGCCCGGAAAGCTGTTCTCACGTGCTCACATGAACTCGACTGATAACATCAAACTAGAAAGATTCGAAGGGGGCCCCTCAATAAGCTCAGTTTGATTTGTTGCTGATTTACGAAGAACGAAGCCAAGGGTCACCTGGAACCTGTGACCTTCGAATCTTCCGACATCTGACTCACGGCTTGGCAAGCGAAGCAGCGCACAGCGAAAAATCCGTGATGCATCAATGTACGGCTTACAGGATGAGTCCGTATGTCACAATAGCTTCGTTGAGTACAATTGCCAAAGGTGCTGCGCAACCTACATATTTCTCGAAACTGCGCTGCAGCAGTTGTCTTGATATATTGACTTCCTATGTCCCGTTGTTGTTTGGGTTCCCCCCCCCCATGCATACATACATACATCCATCCATCCATCCATGCAGGATGGATGCATGCATGCATGCATGCATGCATGCAGACACACACACAACCAGAAGGCAATGTATATTCGACCCAAAACTACGGATGCCCTTCCAGGAGCAGCAGCCCAAGTTCCTCCCATGCCAGCTCCCGTACAAAACTGGCTCCTATAGGGTGGGAGACAACTCTCGGGCCCCTATTTACAAAAATCATCTCAACGCCTCACGAATCTCTGTAAGGGATGCAAAGAATCCATAATCTATATGTCTATATTATCATCTCCGGTCCAGTTGCAGCGCCGCCAGGGCCCACAGAGTGAAGGCGAGGCCCGTCTTTACAATGAGGTCGGAGGTTCCGAAACCTCCGAGTGGTAAGGCAGCTTCAAGGCAGCTTTAAAGATGCGTGTTTAACTCTAAACCCTCAACCTTTGCGCCTTTTGGGCTTTTCGTGATGTTACTAAGACTTCCGGCATGCTCCTTGTATGCCGATTGTTTTGGGGCGGTCCGGGCCTTCATGGCATGTGGGTTGCCAGGTGCTGATGCCCGGCTTTCAGCTAGCAAGGTTTGTAGGGTTAGGAAGCTGAGAGACAACCAGGAAATTGATGTCCATTTCGAAACAAGCATATGGGTGTTCCCCTCATGTCGGGGTGAGCCGTGTCTGATAACCTTCCCACGCGCCTCGAATGTCCACGCCAGCTTCGTATGCCCATCGAAGCCAATCGTTGTAAGCTCCGGCGCGCATGAGAACGCGGATCGTCACATCTATCTCGTCCTCAATTATCTCAAAGTCTGAACGACGTGAAGAACCGTACATAAGCCGCAAGGCAGTCTCTCAAGCCAGAGACCTTCGAGACGTTTCAAGACAACCCAACTTGTGCATGTCCCAGCGAGGCCCCAGCATCCCAGAATGTCCCAGAGGCTAGTTATGGGGGCTTCACCTAGCCATGGGGTAGAAGAGCAGTCCGGCCGGCCTAGAACACTAGGGCACATGTACGGCTATGCTTTTCAAAGCCATTCCACAGTAAATCTTCTCCTCGCATCCCAGGATGGCTGCGCGAATCCTCTGCTCGTCCTGGGCTGTCATGCAATCGTTTCGCGTTTCGGACGTCTTGGGCTGCCAAAGGCTCCGTAGCTTTCTGCTGGATGGTGAGTACTTTCTTCACAGGCCCGGGTCCTGGTGTTGGCTTCAATGCCTCGTTGGGTTTTCGAATCAACTGCCGTGCCACGGACATTTTTCGGAATGCTCCCTCGGGTTCAAGGCTCAGGGCCGGGGATCCTAGTTTCCACCTAGTTTCAGAAGGGTCCGAGCACGTCGCATCGGCGACAGTATCACATTCCAGGTGGCTTGCTTGACGGGAGAGCTCCTGATGGCAGGGCTGTCGGGAGTTCGAGGCATGTTGGGGCTCGGAGAATTGCACCGTTCTGTTTTCAAGCTCAAACAAAGGGCCGGGGAAGGTGCCTTTAGCTCCAGCTCGTGCTGGTTCAACTGCACGATGCGGAGCAAGTTGAAAAGGATCAGGACGATAGGAAAGAAGTAGTGCTGGAAGTAATGGAAAGCAGATGGCAAGACTGGCGTGTAGGTTACCCAGGGAAGGAATGAGAGCGCGCAAACGAACAGCAGCAGCATATGCCCGATACGCACGAACTTAAAGTGGGTCTGCCATGACCACCTGCAAAACTTCAGCAGGATAGACACCACGAAGCAAATAGCAGTTCCAGTCGCGCATAGAAGCATTGCTGCGGCCACCAAGTTGAAGTTATCATCTCGGATGGCATCTCGGATGGCAGTCTGCGACAATATCAACCACCAAAACATGCCTGACAGGACTCCAGCTGCCATTGGAGCCACCAAAGTTCGTCTGATGGTGCCGCACTGAGTGGAGGTGTGCGGTCGAGCTGGCATGATGCAAGTTTTCTTCCAGCATGCACCTAGGTAGGCCTCGTAGACGCACCACAAACCTTGGGCAATGGTGATTGCGAATGCGGTGCTGAGGGGCTTCAAGCTGTGCTTGAACAGAATGCGTACAGTATATGGAAGCCAAACGCAACGACAAGAGAGAAAGAAAGAGAGAGAGAGAGAGAGAGAGAGAGAAGGAGAACTAGGGGAGCAGAGGGAAGAGATCTGGATAAGTTGAAAGACTAGATCAGAATGCAGCACACCCGGATCAAAGAAAGAGACGATTGGAGACTGCTCAAACACATGCTGTTCTCTGCTTCTTCGACTACTACAGCTGCCAACTCTTTCATCATGGCTGGTTTCAACGTTAGTCTTATCCAGGTGGCGCGTGTAGATCCCGACACTGTGGTTCGGGATGACAAGCACATGGGAAGCAGCTTGCATGGCCTTGGCGAAGGGGCTCTCCATCGGCGGCACATTGAGCAGAGCCGAAAGATCGAGATTCTGCGGGTTTGCCAGCAGACAGCAGTACCTTGGAGGATCCGTCTAGTAGCGGGAGCTTCGAAAACATCGTCATTTCTTGACATAGAAATCGAGAATCTCTGATTGCAGCTCAGCCTGCAAGCTGTGAAGGAACTGAAGCCGCGGCCAGCCCCGGTGTACCTTCCGGCCCAAGCGCAATGGCACAGGACTGACTGGGTCTGCTGTATATCTATGACTTTCAAAACCTGTGAAAATAGAAAGATCAGAAGCAGGCTAGATAATGCTAAACAACTCGACTACTTCAAGCAGATACAAGTACATGGCAGTACGACTGAAACAAAACCCTTCGTTGCTCCTGCGCAGATGATGCGGCCCTGCACAAGGAACATTCCCTGCTCGGGTCTTGACGTCCGGTATCAACTCCCAGACTTGTCTGGCGCAGCGTGTCTCATGTAGTCTGCTGGAGTTTGAATTTCGGGTCCAACTACGCTTCGGGGTAGGGATGCTGGCCCTCTCAGTGGGATTCGCGAGGTTCGAGACTTGTATGCACGGCCACCTAAGTAATATCTTTAGAAGCTGGTACCCCTAAACCCTAAACCCTGTTACGGGCAACCGATGGCGAAGAAGGGCACGAGGTCATCAAGCTCGAAGATGCCCTCTGCCCAGGCGTGGGAGATGAAGACCTTCCCGGCGAATGCCCCTTTAAGCTTATGCACATGATGTGAGCATCGGTCGGTTTTTGTATGAGGCATCTTGATGTTCGGAATCTCTACCAGGATTTGCGTAGCTATTTTCAGACATGCCGATCATGTAATTAGTCAAACAGCTGCGATCGGGCTTTGCGCACTTCTGAGCCGGCATGTCCCAATCTATTGGGGGTCCTGGTTGAAGGCGGGACCAGCGCTTCAGGATCAGGGACAAGATCTTACAATGAAGCCTCCTTCGGAAAGGACCTCAAGTCTCCACCAGCTCTTTCCAAGCCGGAAAGCATCCCATGAAGCCTCTTTCAACTGGGGCATTCGTCTTTCGGGACCCCTGTCTTGCCCCCTCGCTGGCCTGGCAGAGAAGGCCCCCCGGGTGCTTCATCAAGGCGTAACTCATGCCTCGGGCCGTGGCCCCCCTTTTCACTTCCGGCAGTTTTGGAGTTGCGGACCGGCTTCAGCCACATCTACATGTTATGCAAGGCTGTTTCTAGGTCGGGGTCAAACAAGGCGTCGGGCTTCGAGACTTAGAGCGGGTGTTTGGGGAGTCGATACGATGCTGGATGTTTCCCAGCGCCTGCTTATTCGTCCCCTAAGCGGCCCGGCCATGCAAACAAGGAGCCCTTCAGCAATCTCACGCCCTGCCCGTCAAGGTGAACTGTGAACCAACACTTCCAAGACCGTGGCTAGTCGCCCACCCAACCAAACAAGTGCAGGCTAACAGCCTCCCGCGGCACTCGTGATGGGCTTCACGTAGTGCTCGTTAACTTGGTAGAGGTTTGGTCCATACCTGTGGCATCAAGAGTAGGCAAGGGATCGCTTGTTTGGCTGCCGCATCGCACGCCGAGGTCGACACTCAGACTTCACACGCATTCGGTGTCAATGTCTCGGGCTTTGGGGTGTTGGGGGTTTTGCCAGCCAACTTTCGCGCAGACCTGCCATCTAGACTCCAGGATTCGTGGTATCCTTTTGGCTCCGCTTTGAGATGACGTCGAAAGGGCAACTGCTGGTACCAGATTCATGGCAGACCTACTATCAGCACGGTGTTGGAACACATGACTCGACCACATAAAGCCCCTTGATGCCTCCGGGTTCCTTTGCCGGGATGCGGTTGGGGCTCATGGGCTGATGGTGCCATCCATCGAAGGATAATGCAAACATACCCCTAGAACCGTGAATCCTAAACTCTGAACACCCAAACCCGAAAGTCGCAACTCAAAACCAAAAGCCCAACCCACCTCGACTCGCCGCGCCGCCCGTGGATGTCCTCGCCAGGAGGCAGCTCGCCACGAGACCAGAGCTGCCTCACCTGTTTCGGGATGTGGGGCTTTGGGGGGTTTTTAGGGTTTGAAGGTTCCGGGATTGGGGTCTGAAGGTTGAATTGGGGTTTCAGTAGTGGTGTGGTTGAATTGGGGTTTCAGTAGTGGTGTGCTAGGTCTCATTGTCGAGTGCTCAGGGATGCTGTTCGGGTCCTCCGATCTGCTTGTTTGGTATTCAAGACGTCTCTATATGTGAGGCAATGTACCGAACCGGTGCTATGAGACGACAACCTACACCCAACATACCTCTAACTGGTACCTTAGTACCGTTCTTAATCTGCGGCCACCCCAAAAAAGGCGTGGGTTTGCGCACTGCTGCCGCTGATTCGGAGTTTCAAGAGCCTCCTGCACGAAGGCATGGAACTCGCAGCGGGTGAGTCCCCAGCGCTCTGGTGGCACGCGGAGGTGCAGGTCCATGGCGCGCTGAAGAGGTAGGCTTGCTTTACGTAATGCATGGGCTATTGTATCGTGGCTGTGTAGACATTTGGCGGAACAGAAAACTATATTACACAAGCACATTAACTGCATTCGTACTTTGGCGGCTTGTGGTTTGTGATGTGGGTCATTGGACTGATGGAAAGTCAAAAGGAACCTCATATCTAGGGCAGATATATGTAATTGCACACCGGCAGAGACATGCGTGTACATGTTCCATGCATATCAGTATACCTTACCACATTCCGGGGTCTCGCGAAAATTCGGGCAATCTTAGGGTCTGAGAATCTGCGAATGTTCGAGTCATGTGCTAGGCTAATGCTGTTAAATACACAAACATGTATCCAGAACAGGGATCGCCGCTCCGATGTCTTTTGCAACGTCGAGTTGGCCAGGCCTTTGCGCGAAAGGATTGCTTCGCGATACATGGCGCAGCAGCAACATTGTGCGGGGACGCGCGCAGTCGCCAAACAGGAGGCATGAAGACACATTGCAAAAATAAATGTTCGAGCGACTGTGGGCCGGATACGACTGCCTGCATGTTGTGGACTGGCATGGCCACCGGGGAGTACATGGGCTTCGTCCCTGCAACACTTTGTGGCGAGGAGTGAAGCCAAGCGGGACGACATACCTTCAAGCAAAGACACACCAAGATCAGGTAATTGAGTCATCTACCTGTTCAAACCTCCGTCGTCATACAAGCATAAGGCTGCCGGTAGGCTACCGGTTACTGCTACGACGACTACGACCAATTCTGCTACCATTACAACTAATACGACGACGCGACGACGACGAATACTGCTACTCTACCACCACGACGACGACGGTCACCTACACGACTACGACTGCGATTCCGACCATGACGAAAACGACGTCGACCACCGCTACTTGCTCCTACTGCTGCTGCTAATACTAATGCAGCTAATTACTCCTAATTACTGCTGCTGCTGCTGCTGCTACTGCTGCTACTGCTGCTGCTACTGCTGCTACTACTACTACTACTACCACCACCACCACTACTACTCCTACTCCTACTCCTACTCCTACTCCTACTCCTAAT